ACTGGGACCTCAGAGCCGACCCTACTGGGACCTCAGAGCCGACCCTACTGGGACCTCAGAGCCGACCCTACTTGGACCTCAGAGCCGACCCTACTGGGACCTCAGAGCCGACCCTACTGGGACCTCAGAGCCGACCCTACTGGGACCTCAGAGCCGACCCTACTGGGACCTCACTAATGCTGACCAATTTTTCTTGGTCACAATGGCACATCATTTCCCTATCACTCTACACCACTCATTTATTGGCCCCATAATGTCACATAGGTCATCTTGCCAACGTTTGGGGGCCACGTGGGGTCCCCTTCCTCGGTGACACAGGGTCATTGTGTGGTCCTGACAAGGTAGACATTCCTAACATTCATTATCAGCATTGTAAATACTGGTGGTAATGCGACGAATGGCGGAACTTGTGACAGATTTCTGTCGGGAGGACGCGTTGTATATGAATCTGTCGCAGCAGAACGGTCTCACCATAATCCAACATGGCGGACGTCTTATTTACACCCAATTTCAGCAAATGGCGGTCTTTCTTTGCTAACTTATAGCGACAGATGTGACAAAAAGTGTGATAAATATGAATTTATTGCGCATCAGCAGTGAAAATCTTACAGGGCTTCAAGAAATTGGCGCAAGGCCTCTGACTACATCCACACCATCAGAACCGTGTGCGTTTCAGGAGCGCTGGCGACTTCACGTCCCATATTGGATGATTCCGTCGCCGGCGACTACCAATGGCCACGAGAAGAAGTCGCTTTGTCACTGGCAACAGCAACAGAGCATCTCCATATCATGATGAGGACATTTCTACAGGAACTGACACTGCCGAGTGTCCCCAGACACAACATCTGTCATCACCATCACGGTGTCACTGGCTGGACACGGTACACATACATAGGTGGTCGCCAGCACGGTGTACCTGATGCTGGGACTTGTGGTTTACCCAGGACAAGCCGCACTCACTCACCCAGGATAGTCATCTCCCCGGCCATGGTGTACAACCCGGAGCTCGCACTTCCTCCGCCACAGATCACTCGGCTTCCTCCTCACTGATGACTGTACATTACATACAGGATGCGCGCACTGCACGCCGGGAAACCGCTTCTAGGACGCGCGCCCCGGACCGAGAGCATTGCGCGCTCCCGAGACACGGAATCGCGCGAGCACGGCTGCCACATGTTTTGCCTTCTGCGCAGGCGCGAACCGATTAGTGTCGGCGAACGGAATGAGAGGAGTTAAAGGGACAGTCCACCTATACCATACAACAATCTTTCCAAACAAGTAGCTGTGCATTCGGGCTTCTGTAGAGTATTAACCACTTGATGTCCAAGGCACACATGATAAAATATAATTTTTTGGCTAGAAAACAGCTTGAAACCCCAAAACAATGATATATGTTCTGACAGCAGAGGCCCTGTAGAATAAAAAAATGCTACCGTAGTTGCAACTTTTTATGTTGCACTGTTTTTGCGCAAATGTCTATCAAACCAGTATTTTTAGGAAAAAATAAACTAAATTAAAATTTAGTGCGCAGAAACGAAATATGATACCCAATTTTTTGGTAAAATATGAAAGACGGGATCATGTCGGGTAAATAGATACCAATATGTCAAGCCTTAAAATTGCGTTCGCCTGTGAAGTCGCAAAAAAAAGTTAATACCCAAAATTTCCCATAGGGAACATTTTAAACGCTTTTACCGCTCATCCGGTTAGTGCTAACAGTGATTGACAATGCTAGAATTATTGCTCTCACTCCGACGTTCGCGGCGATATGTAACGTGTAGCGCAATTGTCATTTTTGCACGTAGGCACACCGACGCGTTTTTGCGTGTGTATGTGCGTGCACATGGGGGCCGGGGGACGTAAAAAAAATGTTTTTCAATTTTTCAATTTTTCTTTTATGTTACTTTCATTTTTAGAACTTTTAAACACTTTATTTTAATTTTTTTTTACACTAACCCTATTGCTATCACATAGGGAGCTAACAAGCCCCCTACGTAATAGCAGATAAGGTGGGACAGGTCCTCTTTATGGAGACATCAGGGGTCTTTCAGACCTCTAATGTCACCTAGAGACCCCAAAGAAGCTGAGGAAGCAGAGATCTGCTTCCCCAGCTTCATCTCCTGGCTCAAAGAGCCGGAGACTGTGACGAGTGATGGACTTCTGGGTCCAGTGATCGGAGGAGAGATCAGCGGCTGGAAGCCGCTGAATCTCTCTCCGATCATTGCGGGGAGACCCGCCGAGCCGCTCCCAGGCACCGCACGGGGACAACGGTGCCCGGGGAAGACAGCGATCTGGAGGCTGTACAGACGGCAAATCGCTTGTCCATTAACAGCCATTGCTGGCTGTTAAAAGCGATATCAACCACTTTAAAGGAGAACTATGGGGTTAGGGCTTTTCCCCATAGTTCTCCTAAGGGTAACGGTAGGACACAAACTAGCGTCCTCCCAGCCCTAACAGATCCCGACAATTATGTCTGGATCCACCCAGCTGCGTGAGTGACAGCTGGCTCTGCCTATCTAGAGGCAGAGCCAGCTGTACCAGCCCCCTCCCCCGAGCGCCGGTATGTGTTCGCTCACTTCCCGATCTACTGAGCCGACCTGTGACAGTTTCATTGTCACAGGTCGGCTCAGATTATGAGGCTGAGTGAAAATCACTCACCTCATAGTTCTCCTTTTAACGGGCCACCGTCTATAGACGTATTGCGGCCCGGAAGTGGTTAAAAAGCAGTCCTCGGGATGCTTCATTTACAAGGTGTACCTGCAGGCCATGCGGGGACTCTCCTTAGCCTGTCTGTAAAACTCTCATTAGACGCCCCATCAGCTCAGGAACGTAGCCACGTGCAGTGTGCGCCCAATGCTTGGCCAGGTGGGTTGGTTGTGAACAAGCCAGAACGTATTCCTCCACCAATGGAGCCGCACATCCCGGACAGGATTTTCTAGCACTTTTGTGCCTTTCTTTCTATTCTTATTTTCTAGATGGGCGTAGAGATGTCTTATAAGGTGATATGGTTTACTGTTTCTTCACACTGTAGTCTGGGCCGGATTTCCCACAAGGCCAACCGAGGCTTGGCAGGGAGCAGAGGGGCGGCAGGGATTCCTATCGCCCGGGACACGCAGTTCTGGGCGTCGGGCGGGTAGCTGTTTTCTAAATTTAGCCCTGCTTCGGGCAAGCAGAGCTAAATGTAGAGCAGGGAAGCCGCTTGTTCTTTAACAAGTGATCACTTGTATGCAGCCTGCTCGTTTGTCATTCCCCCCCACACATCGGCTACCTCTCTCCCCACCGGCCAGAAAATTTCTCTTTGGAATGGAGAGTGGGGAGCAGAGCAGAGAACGTCCGTTCTCTGTGGGAACACTAAGAAGGGAGAGCTGCACTCGCAGCCTTCCCATCTCAGCTGTCACAGGAGTTGCAGCATAGTGCTGTGCTAGAACTATTGTATTGGAGGTGAGAGGTTCCATAAAGAGAACCTCTCACCTCCAAATGTTATCACACAGGGGAGAATTGGGTCAGCTTGGCCTAGCCGCAACTCCATGTCGGCTGATCAGTGCGGGCTCTTAGACGTCAGTGCGGGATCCAGGTGGTCAGTGAGGGATCCAGGTGGTCAGTATGGGCGCCAGGTGGTCAGTATGGGCTCCAGGTGGTCAGTGCGGGCTCTCAGATGGTCAGTGAGGGATCCATGTGGTCAGTGTGGGCTCCAGGGGGTCAGTGTGGGCTCTCAGGTGGTCAGTGTGGGCTCCAGGCGGTCAGTGTGGGCTCCAGGCGGTCAGTGCGGGCTCCATGTGGTCAATGAGGGCTCCATGTGGTCATTACGGGCTCCAGGAGATCAGTATGGGCTCCAGGTGGTCAGTGCAGGCTCTTAGGTGGTCAGTGAGGGATCAAGGTGGTCAGTGAGGGCTCCAGGTGGTCATTATGGGCTCCAGGTGGTCAGTGCGGGCTCCAGGGGGTCAGTGTGGGGTCTCAGGTGGTCAGTGTGGGCTCCAGGTGGTCAGTGCGGGCTCCATGTGGTCAATGAGGGCTCCAGGTGGTCAGTACGGGCTCCAGGTGGTCAGTATGGGCTCCAGGTGGTCAGTGCAGGCTCTCAGGTGGTGAGTGAGGGATCAAGGTGGTTAGTGCAGGCTCAAAAAAAAAAAGTAAAAAATAATAATTAAAATAAAAAGGTGATAAAAAAGTAAAAATTATACGATAAATCAAAATGTAAAAAATGTAGAAAAATGTCAAATAAATAAAAAAAAGTAAAAATAAATAAATAAAAATTAAAACTAACCCTGCTGCCCCCGCCATCTTGTTGCCATTCTCCATGGGTGGGGGCAGTTGGCGGGGAGGGGGGCGCATTGAGGAATGTGACCTTGGGGCAGCAGAGAGAGTAAATCCGGCCCTGACTGTAGTCCTATTTTTGTGAATGTTTCTTACATGTTTGCACTATAATGATAATGGATAAGTGCTATTCTTTGAACTGCCATGGCTGTATCTGAGTGCTGTACTATATTGTTAAAATTAAAACTAAAGCAGTGTGGTGACAAGCAGGGGATTTCCACTTCTTCTCGAAATCATTCATGCGACAATGAACAGCTTTCAGTAAGGCAGCACAGAAATATCACAAGGTTTCCCATAATGACAGCTTTCATTTTAGAAGTGATGCTCCTACATTAAACAAGTATTAAATCAATACCTACCGTCATTTCACTTTCCTGGTCCTTATACATGGCAGCGGACATGTCGCTAGGGTACTAGCCCCTCTCCCAGCCCGTTGTCAGTTATATCTATATATGTTTGTGAACCCCATACCCAACACATTCCCATAAACAGGGAACACGGGAGGTAGTTGTATGATGCTGTATAAAGGCATCAGAAAAGGAAATGATGGCAGGTTTTCAGTCTTCCCTTTTCCTGGTGCCATCATAATAACACACTGTAAATATGCTAATAAAATGTATTTGGAGGAAGCAAAAAACAAAAAAAAGTTTATTAGTCTGCAGCAGAGTTTAACCCTCTCTCAGTCACAGCACCCTTTAAAAGTATGCAAAATCTTGAGACACTCCACTCTGAAATAGGGTCCCCCATTTACATCAGAGTCCCCCTTCACATCATAGTCTCCTCTTTCACATCATAGTCTCCTCTTTCACATCATAGTCTCCTCTTTCACATCATAGTCTCTTCTTTCACATCATAGCCTCCTCTTTCACATCATAGTCTCCTCTTTCACATCATAGTCTCTTCTTTCACATCATAGTCTCCTCTTTCACATCTTAGTCTCCTCTTTCACATCTTAGTCTCCTCTTTCACATCATAGTCTCTTCTTTCACATCACAGTCTCTCTCCTGATACTAATCGCAGATAATGTCGATTTACATTTTTAAATACATTCGGCTGCCGTAGGGTCCCTCGTTTTCTAGGGACCTCACGGCAGCCTTCTGGAAACTTCATGGCGGCTGTTTACAGCACTGGCCCGCACATCTCCTCTTCCTCCTCCTTCCCACCGCCCGGACCCGCTTGCACAGCACTGGGGTGACCTGGCACAACACTGAGGAGACCTGCCACAGCACTGGGGAGACCCAGAACATCCTCCTGAGACCGCGCACAGGCCTGTTGAGACCACATACAGCCCTGGTGAGACCACACACCACCCTGGTGAGGCCGCGCACAGCCTCCTGGGACCCCGCACATTCTTGGTTAGACCCTGCCAAGCCTCCTAAGACCCTGCAAAGCCCTGGTAAAACCCCGCACAGCCCAGGTCAGATCGCACATAGGTATTGTATTGTGGGAAGACGTCTCAGACTACACTCCCACAATCCATTACCAGAATAAAGAAATGCCTCTTCTAGAGTGCTCAGTAATGGTTGTTAGAGGGTCTCAACCATTAACCCTAATGCACACTGAACCAGTTTAACAATCTGTGACGTGAAGAAGCTTTGTTTATCCACGCTCTGCATTGCTGTATAATGTATTGCCGGGATTTGTAGTCCTCTATGGTTGTTGGTATTCTGCATTGCTGTATAATGTATTTCTGGGATTTGTAGTTGTGCTGCCCCAATGGGGCATAGAATATGTTATTAGGATTGTTAGTAGATGAAAATGTATTTAGATTGTTTCTCTATACCATTTTCTATAGTCATTC